CTTTATTGATTTAGAGAGAGGAAGGGAGAGGGAGAGAGAGATAGAAACATTGATGCGAAAGAACATGGACTGGCTGCCTCCTGCATGCCCCCCACTGGGGATGGGCCCACGACCTGGGCCTGGGCCCCGACCGGGAGTCAAACCAGGACCTCTGGGTGCAGGGTCGACGCTCAGCCCCTGAGCCCCACCGGCCGGGCATGGATCTGAGGTTTAGACTTTCCTACCTTCCTCCAGTGTCCTTGCCCGAGAGCGTCTGTGGGTCGGGACCACTTCCGTCCCACGTGTCACCCGCAGTCCCCGCCCCCCGGATCTGCCACCTTGACAGCTCAGCTGCGCTGGTCCCTCCCTTCCCAGCCCGACGCCCATTCATCTCTCTGGCCCCTGCCGCTGCTTCCTTAACCAGAGTCCCATTTTCAGATGCATTTGGGAGAAAAGACGTCGCGTTCGATAAAAACACAGGCTGTGGCCTTCAGAAATCACAGACACATATTTTCTAGGTGATGAAACCGGAGTGAGTGTCCTCAAGGTGGGGAGGACTGGGCATGTCCCGCAGTGACCGCTTCCGCTGAGCTGGGGCGAGAGGGATGGACCGGTGCGCCGGGCAGTCCTCAGCGCCGCTGACACGGCCGCGTTCGGGGTCGTCTGTGGGCTGTGTCATAGCTGGACAACCGGAGCCAGACGGGCTCTCTGTGCGGAGCACCAGCCGGGTTTCCTTCCCGCTGAGTGGGCGGCGTTCAGGGAGCTGAGGCGTCTGGCGTGGACGCGTGTCCTCCTCCTCTGTGGAAACCGTCTGACGCAGCACAACCGCTGTGGGCAGGAGGTTGTCCATGTGGGCAGCAGCCGCCACCACGTACTGAGCGTAGGGACCAGTGTGGGGGTCGCGGTTTGAAGAGACCAGAACATGGTGAACCTTCCGGAAGACCTGCTCCTCCTTGCTCCCGTCTCAGGTCGGCTCTGAGCACGAGGGGCCCCGTGGGGTCGCTCCCGGCCTGGTGCCCACACCGACTCGCCCGGACCTTCCCGCGCCCTTCCGCTCCAGCGACTCGACTGGGGCGAGGAGATGACCTTTCTGTCTGGTTGCTGGGCCGGGGCTGTCTGTCCTCCAGGGACGTCCACACTGAGACACTGGACACAGAGCCCGAGTACGGAGCCAGGTGACCGCGGGCCAACGCACGGCCCCGGGGCCGTCCACCTCCGCCTCCCCGACAGAACACGCGCCTGATGTGTGCAGGGAGGGTGTGGTCTCCCCACGGTGGCCTTTCTGTCGTGTGGTGGATTCTCGGCTGTGCGCAAGCTTTTCCGTTGGATGGCGTCCCTCGCGCGTATGTGTTCGTCGTTTCTCTCGCCCGAGGGGACGCTTGGGCAGAGATGCTGCCATGAGAGACGTCTCCAAAGAAACGGCTCCCGAGCGCGACAGACCCAGTCCCCGGGGAAGGAGAAGTCTCAGGACACGGGAACCGGCTTCCGGGGATCTGGTCCCGGCATCCGCAAAGGAGAATTTACTCAGCGGCATGAAGGGTCAGAATTCCCCCAGGGCTGCTTCCGTCCCGTCCGAGGTGGGCGGTGCCTCGAAGGCGCCGTCCACAGGGTGTCAGGGGCGGGACAGGATGCGAGAGCAGGTGCGGGTGCACGGAGGGACCGGTGTCACCGAAGCTCGGCCTGCAGGAGCGAGGATGAGGAAACAGACAAGCGGCTGGGGGCACTCACCCACCCCGGGAGCCACAGAGCGTGAAGGCCAGGAAATTAAAGGCCTTCACCCCAGGCCCGGCCGTCCGGGCTACTTTATTGTTAAGTGACATGAAATACGAACCCACAGAGCCAGGAGGGGGGCATTTAAATTAAACTTCAGAATCACTTTGTGTCTAACCCTCTATGACGCGCTCAGCACCGCAGATGAGTTTCCTTCCTGCGGAACCCTCAGGAAACAACCCGACACCCCACCCGGTGCAGGCTCTGCACCCCTTGTCCGGGTGCAGGCTCTGCACAGTTCGCCGTGAACAGAAGTGTGACCGAGATCCGCATTCACGAGCGTCCCCGCCCGGGGAGTTTCTCAGCCGTGACCGAGGACCAGGCGTCTCAGGTGGGGCGTGGTTGCGGTGGGACCTCCGGCCGAGGTCGCTGGTCCCCGTAGGTGGTTGCACCGCGAAGGGCCTTGGGAAGCAGGTGCCAGTGGGGGAATCGTCAGTACCCGCAGGGAGCTTTCTGGCTCCGGGTGCGGGGGAAGCTGTTTTGCGCCCGTGCTCCCTGGCCTCGTGGTGCCGCTGATGTCCAGGCGGGACAGCTGAGAGTGGACGGAGGTTTCTCTGAACACTGAGCGTCCGTCCTTCGAGTCAGACTCCACCTGCCGAAACTCCCACCTGGGAGTAGGTGGGACCCACACCCAGCCAGGTAACCGGCTCCCTGGATCGGTCACCCTGCGGCTTCTCCCCAAGAGTCCGCTGTCTTCCCAAAGGGTTGGCGTCCTTCCCCGAAGGAAAGTCAGTGCTTCAGAGTCGGACAGGAAGGGTGAGCTGAGTGGAACACGTCGAATATCCACTGTTCACGCGAGGGGAGCGACCAGGCTGTAAGGTGAAGTCCCCCCCAGGGAGAGGGTTCTCCTCGCAAAGACGTCTCCCTGTTTGCTCTTCAGTCTTGTTTCTTTAAGAGACTAAAGGCCTTTGAGGAAGACACTTACGCAAACTCCACACCCAGGGAGGGAAGCGGGAGGTGGAAACAAAATGAAAGAGGTCGAGCCAGCAGCTTCTCTGAGCACAGTTCCTCCTGGTGAGTCTGGTGAGAGGGCACCTGGGTCCCCGCGGGCGGGGTCTCCTGGTTACGACCCTCACCCGCCGTCACCCACACCCGCCGTCACCCACACCCGCCGTCACCTGCTCCTGTTGTTACCCTCACCGGGTGTCTGGCTGCCCCACCGACGGACAGAAGGGGCGTGAGCGGAGGAGGAAGGACCCGCACGCGGACGGACACACAAGTCAGACCCACCGCACGGTTCAGTTTGAGTCTCGGTTCAGCGGCTACACCGTGAAAGGAAGAACCTTCCCTAGCTGGGTGTTTTGTGGGCAAATGTGTGACACAGCGCAAGGGCACCCCCCTGCCCCCCGCGGCGCCGGCTGCATGTCACCGTCAGATGGGCGGACGCTGGTCCTTCACTCCCCGGCTCACGGGACTGTGACTGACCACCTGTCCACGGTCCGCCCGTCTCCACTCTGGTGAGGTCACTGTTCCCACTTGGTTCTTCCCTCCACGGCCACTGTTCAGGAAACGTGACGGAAGACGTTTCCCTTCACAGCCTCCGCGAGACTGGAACAGGGCTGAGAGCCGAGCCTGCCTCTGGGGTCACATCTCACCTGCTCCCGCCCGGAGGCCCCTCGCTGTCCTCAGCTGAGGCCGAGGCGGCTGGTCCTGGCCTTCGCGCGGGGGTCAGCTGGATGTCACGCGGGACACTCGGTGGGCGGTAACTCGGGTCTTTTGGACAATTGTCGCCCAGGGCACTGCCCACTGACGCGGGAGAGAGGCTGGTGGCCAAACATTTGGAGACGTGCAGACTTTTTTTAGAAAATTTTGTTTTCTTTATTGATTTTAGAGAGAGAGGAAGGGCGAGGGAGAGAGAGAGAAACATGGATGAGAGAGAACATCGGCTGGCCGCCTCCTGCACGCCCCCCACTGGGGATTGAGCCACAACCTGGGCACGTGCCCTGACCAGGAATCGAACCCGAGACCTTCAGTCCGTGGGCCGGCGCTCTCACCGCTGAGCCACGCTGGCCTTTGAAGGAACCGCCTGAATTACTCTCTCGTGACTGAAGTCCTGACCCCAGGTCTACGTGACTGTCGCGGTCACGGAAGAACAGCTCCCGGCATCCGTCACTGCCGGTGTGAAGGTGAGATCTTCTTTCCGATCTGGAAATGCTCCTGTGCGTCAGCGCCAAGGGATAGAAAAACCCCAGAAACCAAAGGGATTGAGCCCCCGAAACAGGGACCCAGCGCCCCTGCTTTTCCATGGGGTGTCCCAGCACAGTAGGAGACTCCTCGCCCCCCATTTCCCGCCCGCCCCGGGGCCTACATTGTCTGGGTTGTTGAGGGAGCCTCCCAGGTCCCCTCCCCCTGTCTCCCGTCCGTCTCCTCTCCTTCGATTCTTCCTCGACTCCCAGCCAGGCAACCGTCACCCGACCGGCCCCCGTGTCCCGTGCCCGCCAACCACCCCACGCCCCCGGGTCACTCTCATTGTGGCCCCTTTTCTCCACTCGGTGCTTTGAATGTGCTGCCCCTCAGCCTGGAGGGCCTGCCTTCCCGCCCATCACCCTCCCTGCTCCGACGCCGCCTCCTCCAGGAAGTCCTCCCTGCCTGGCTCCCAGTGAGACGTTTCTCCGTCTCCACCTTCCGCTCGGCCTTCCCGCCCGTGTCCCAGAACGTGTCTGTCCTTGTGCTACGACCTGCGTCCCCGGAACCGAGAAGGGCGCTGGCGGAGGTGGACACCTGCCTGTTTGAATGGACTTTCCCGTTAGCGCCCGTCTATCCGATCTGCACCGACGTTCGGGGAGGCCCCGAAACGGGCATGAAGTTAAACTTAAGACACAGGCCAACGTGTCACGTCACTGGAGTAACTAGGTGTTCGGAATAGACGGACAGTGGGTTGTTGTTTCCAAACTCGGCCAGAAGCGAGTCTGTCTGTCTGGACAGGTGGGGACCCTCACAGCGCAGCCTCGGGCCGGGAGCGTCAGGGCCACACGCAGACTCTTCTAGAAAAACACCCTGTGCTTTATTGACATTTGGGGAGCACACAGCGCTGCTTGGGCAGAGGAGAGGGGCCGACTGCCGGGCTTACAGACCGTCTCCGGGGACGTGAGGCCAGGTGACAGCGTGTGGGCTCCAGACGGGGTGGTCCTTCCATCCACATACGTGATCTCACGTGTGCGTAGACAGGGAACACGCCACACGCGCCGGAATCCTTTCTCCGGAACACGTGGGAAAAGCCTTTGTTTCCGAAGCGCCCGAGGTGGCGGGGCTCACGCCACGGTCTCCTTCCTCTGAGTCCGTCTCTGGTGACAGGTCAGGACACTCGTGAAGGAGGGTCCCCCCTCCGTCCTCCAGTGTCTCTTCAGCCTCCTCTGAGTCTGGAGGGAGAGGCCCAGCTCCTCCATGAGGGTGTTCACGGGCAGACACTGGGGACAGAGAACAGAGCCCGGGTTCGCGACGGCGAGACGCCGGCCTGAGTCAGCTCCGCCCTGAGGGGCGTCCAGCCAGCCCCCCTCCGCCCGCGGCCACCGCCTTCCACTTGGGCCGACCTCGGCCTCATCCACAAACGCAGCCCTGAAGCCACCAGGTAGGCCCTCCCGTCGACGACTTACCTTCGTGCGACACCAAACAGTTAAATTGGGGTCCCCCCCGATGGCCCACACCCGGGGGATCGCAAGGCAAATGGACACCCCGCGACGCTGCGGAGTGGACGCACCTCTGCACCAGGCTTTGCTGCTTCCCCCACGAACCCTCACCTTGTCCCTAAAGTAAAATCTAATTCCCGATGACTTTCCTTTCTGACAAAGAAAAAACCCCACAACTTCAAGTCGAATCTTTTCTCCAAAAAAAGCAGGAAGTGGAGAAACATCGACATGAGAGACACACTGACTGGCTGCCTCCCGCACGCGCCCTGACCGGGTGGGACTCGAACCCGTGACCTGAGGTCCCAGGGCTGATGCTCCAACCACTGAGCAACCCAGCCAGGACTTGCTTCTTTTTATTTTATTTTTTCATTTTTATTAAATCACTATGGAAAGCTTTTTTTGTGGATTCTTTTTCCATAAAATAGATAAGACATTCCCGTCTTTCTGTTCTACGTGAACTCTCAGACATTTCGTTCTAGACATTTCGCGTTGAAATAGCCACGTGTGTGTCAGGCTCGCACAGGCGATGCCGCCGGGCGGGGGCTCCACGGACGCCCTTCCTGTGCCGGGGTCACGGCTGTGACCTTGACAGTGTGTCCATGAAGTTTGCTTTAAAAACGAAGTTGTGGGCCCAGTTTTACACAAACTCAAAACACAGCGAGCGTCTCTGTTCATCCGATCGCCCCCCTGGACCCCGGTCCTGTCGCTGCCGAGCGCGGATGGGCAGGTGGTCTTCTCTGCTCTGATTTCTCTGTCGTCGGTCTCAGACCAGGATTTCTCTTGGATTCTGTCTCTGACCAAGAAAACGCGGAGATCGGGCCTGACCCTTCTGCTCCCAGGTTCCCCGGTGTCCACGGTGCAGGACGGGCCTGCCAGCCTCGGGCTCCCCCACCACACGCCCGTGCGCACGAGGAGGGGCCTGGGAAGGTCTCTCCGTCCAGAGCGGCGTTGGGAGGCTTGTGCTCGTCCATCCGTTTGCCCGTCGTGATCTCGGAATTAAAGACGCGGCAACGTCGGTGGGTGGAGCTTGAGTCGGGCACAAGTCCTACCTCCCAAAGCTTCTCCTCTGGACTCGGCTCCCACGACCTTCCTGCTAAGTCACAGAGAAGCCACGTTCGAGCACGGAGGTTACACTGAACTCGCTTGCAGGAGGGGCCGCACCAGGGCCCTCGCTGGCCTGCTCTCGAGGAAGGGAAACGGGGTGGGAGACCCCAGAGGTACCTCCCCGCTGCGCAGACGGAGAAGTTCCCAGGTAGCTGAGGTCCTCGGGCGGCTGGAGCGCCCACTTTTAAATCACAGCCGAGCTGGCCCCTGGCGTCAGAGCGCTGGCGTGAGCACGTGCTGCTTAGCGAGGTGCTTGTTTGCTCCGTTTTCTCACCTGTAAAACGGGCACACTCCACAGAGCTACCACGAGAACCACGGAGCTGAGGGGCGTCGCGCGCCTAGGACGACGCCTGCACTTGAAGCACCCTCTTCCCTTAAAATACAATTTTGTCTGTCACTGAAAATAGCCTGTCGATAGCACTTGCTGACTTAATTTTTAATGGAAGGAAGAGCGTTTTAGTCCCAGTAGCTCCGGACGTGTTGGAACAGAGCTTCTGTGCCGTGGTGACCTGCACTCAGCACGACACGGTCTCGAGTCTGCACAGTGTCGGAGCTTCTGAATCAGGACACACGTCGTACCCAGCAGATGCGCACACTCACATGCACACACTCACATGCACACACTCACATGCACACACTCACATGCACACACTCACATGCACACACGCACACACGCACATGCACTCACTCACATGCACACACGCACAGCAGATGCTCACATGCACACACGCACATGCACACACGCACATGCACACACGCACATGCACACACGCACAGCAGATGCACACACTCACATGCACACACGCACATGCACACACACAGCGGGACGGGCGCCCAGCGGCCGGGGAATGACAGCGAGTCACTGTCCCCCTCCGTCTGAAAGGGGCCCCTCTTCGTGCTGACGCATCGGTCACAGTGAGTCCCGCTGTGATTGGCAGACAGAAAAGTCAATAAACAAGTGTGCACTCATGTTTTAAGTCACTGTTGTTTATACTGTTTCTGAAATTACCCAAATGTAATGTGGAATATGTGTGTGTGCACGCATGTGAGAGTGTGAGTGTGTGTGTACATGATTGTATGTGTGCATGAGTGTGTAAATCTGTGTGTATGAGAGTGTAAGTGGGTGTGTTGTGTCTGTGTGTACATGCGTGTGTACATGTATGTGTGTATGTGTGCATGAGTGTTAGTATGAGCAAATGTGTGTATGAGTGTGCATGTGTGTATGTGTGTGTCTGTGTGCATGTGTGAGTGTACATGAGTGTGTGAATTTGTGTGTGTGCATGCATGTTTGTGAGCTTGTGTGTGAGTGTGTGTGCATGTGTGTTTGTGAGTCTGTGCGTGTGAGTGTACATGCGTGTTTGTGAGCCTGTGTGTGTGAGTGTTCATGTGTGTTTGTGAGTCTGTGTGCATGTGTGAGTGTACATGAGTGTGTGAATTTGTGTGTGTACATGCGTGTTTGTGAGCCTGTGTGTGTGAGTGTGCACGTGTGTTTGTGAGTCTGTGTGCATGTGTGAGAGAGTTCTGGTGCAGAAGGAAGGAGACAGGAACACGTCAGCCCGTTGCAGACTGCAGCTGAGACCGGACGGGCACTGGCTCCCAGGTCGGACGTCCTGTCCACTCCTCCCCACAGGCTCCCTCCTGTGCCACGTCCCAGCCCCTCTCCTGCCTGGCTCACCACCACCCTCCCCCTCCACGGGCTCATCTTCATCACCGCTGCAGAGCGGCCCGTCCTGGGATCTGTCCCCGACGGATTTAATTTCCCGGGACTGGTGTGACCTGCCCCACACCTCCGGGTGGTGCAGATGTCCCCGGGGAAGGGGGCAGACAAGCTCTTGTTTGAGCCTGAAACCACCGCCTCAGACAACACGTCTGAGGGTGGGGAGCGGTTTTCAGTCGTGGGGCAAGGTCGGTGCTGGGACCGGCCTCGGCCTCGGAGGTGACTGCCCGGCCAGGCGCCGGGGCCCTCGCACTGCTGCGCGGATGCAGGGCCGTCCGGCTGCGCGTGGACACGGCGTCTGCGCGTCAGGGAGCTGCTCCCCGTGCACCTGCACGGGCTCTTCCGACAAGCGGCTCTCAGAAGCTGCAGCCGGCCGAGAGCATCTAGGACACTGTACAGTCCTGCATGTCGTGTGTGAAGTGTTCTGAGACCGAGACACTGTCAGGTCACCGAGGAAGACGTCAGACTCGTCGCCGTTTTACAGACGGAAAGTTCTCCTTTTACGTAGACGCCGCTAACCCCTGAGGACAAGCCGATTCGAAGTCTTCCTGTAAAGCCCAATTCCAGTCAAATACAGGATACCGAGGAGTGGGTTACTGAGAAATGATGGCATGATTATTTCGTTACTGTTTTCCTGGGGAGGTCAGACCCCTGTTGACAGGAAGGTCTAAGCGCCCCCTTCTACCATCCTCACACTCTGAGGCCGGACACACCTAGAACGGCCGGTCACTTCGGGGCTGGAGTCCGGAAGCCTGTCGGACAGCCGATGGGCTGCGCGCAGAGGTCAGGTGGTCCCCACGATCCGCGGGAAGGGAGGGGTCTCAGGGCAGCTGTGTGGACACCGTCTCTGTCTGAAGTCTTGGGTCCCAGACCTCAGCATCTGGGTACGTTAAGCCTGGTTTTCTGAGTCGATCAGAATTCCTGGACCATCTTTCAGCTGTTCTTAGAATTAAAAATAAAAAGTGGAGCCCGGCCGGTGTGCTCAGTGGACGGAGCATCGTCCCAGGGACTGGGAGGCCCCCGTTCGGTTCCTGGTCAGGGCGCAGGCCGGGTTGTGGGCTCGATCCCCAGTAGGGGGTGTGCAGGAGGCGGCCCATAGATGTTGCTCTCTCTCCCCCTTTCTCTCTCTAAAAAAATCAACAAAAATATATTTTAAAAAAATGGATCTGAGGGGTGGAGAGTCAGACCACATCAGCTCCCAGGAGAGTGGTCAGGATGCACCGTGTCCGAAGGCTAGTGAAGAGGCTGATCCCCGTCTCCCGAGTCTGCGCCCAGAATCTCGGGGTGCAGGAAACCAGACACTGAACCAAGACCTCGGGGTGTGGTCACCACCCTGACCCCACCTGGCACCGTGCACCTTGGATGCTCAGGTAGACTCTGGAACCCCCTTCTCCCCCCATTTCCATGTCCTCCTGCCCCCCCCCCGTCATCTCTGCTCCCACCCGGGGACCCGGCCCCAACAGCTTTGCCTGCTCAGACCCCAGATTTGCGCCTCTGACCCCTGCATGAGTGGGAGCCTGGGCACTGCCGTCTTCCTGCCCGAGCTCCTTCCGCCCACAAACTCGTCCCTCTGGGGACACACGGTCACCCGACGGCACTGGACACGGGGGCCCCTTTCCTGGGTCCATGTTTGAAGGAACCTTCAACACGTTTCCTCTCTAGATAAGCGTAGCTGTCCCGCAGAATGGCACTGTGTGTGCGAGAGAGCTTACTTATTTCTAAAAATTGTTAAAGAATTTTTTTTAACCTGGGGTGACCCATGGTTATACCCCGAACTCTTGGGGTGCAGCGGTGTATAAAGTTCATTCTCTTCTAAGGTTAGGGACAGCGTCATGGAGAACTTTGAAAAGTGGGGTGAACAAGGAGACAGTGTAGCATTTGGTGTCAACCAAGTGGTTCCCCATCTTCTGAAACTGAACCCTCTTTCCCAGTTGAAGCTGCAAAGGAGCTTTGTGGGCCCGGGGGTGGGGAGCTGGCAGGAAGGAAGAGGGAGGGGGGGAGTCGAACTGGCAGCTTTGGGCTCAGACGGTCGGACCTGCAGGGCCTCTGCCGTCCCGATGGCGGCCGGGGTCTGGGAGGACGGCAGCGGGTCCTCTGGACTGAAGACATTTGCTTCGGGGACGGTGTGAGGCCGGCTGCTCTCTGGGGGACGTCGCTCCTCGCAAGGGGAGCCTGGGTGCTGAGCACACCTGGAGGGGCCCCACCTGCTGCCTCTGGCTGCACTCCCGGCCCTCAGCCTGCTGGGAAGCAGCGGAAAAACGGTCCCTCCCCAAGAAAGGGCCCGTCAGCTGAGGGGTAAGGAGGGGGGCTGGGAAGGCCCCAGGCCTGGACC